GATATAGGAATCTGAAAAAATAGTACCTGTTTCAAAAAGACAGCAGTCTCCAATGAAGGAAACTCATCAAATGTTCTCTGGATATTACAATGGAGCATTTGCTGGTTACAGTAGGAATGCCAACCTCAGTGAAAGAAATCCAAGAGAAAAAAGATAAAAGATCCTTCAGTTTAAAGGCAATTTTAGATTTCCCACAGTTTTTAACCCAGATATCGATCAATCTTTCACGTCTGAAGAGAAGGCACTCTGTCAGAATAATAAAACCACCAGACCTCCTGAATTTGGGAATTCAGACACCTCCTCTGATGTGATACCACAAACTTACACTCCCTGAATTCTGTCTGCTGGTACATTCTTCTCCCTTCACTACTGACAGTTATACCTTCAGCTACATTGAGCCTAACTTGGCCATTTCCTCCTTCAAACCTGCTCTTATCTTTCTCTTCTCTGTAATGCCTTACAACATTCATTTAAAAAGAGCAAATGGACTGTCTTGTTTACCTATATTGTAACATTGCCTGCATTTTGAAAACATTCATTACAGGTAAAACCCTCTGGTTTTAATAGCAAAGGAACTAGCAAAGGAAAATTCAAACAAGACACTACATTTCAAGTCTTTTGTCAGTTTGGAAGGTGCTTTGACCAAGATTTTGGCCACTCTTGTGTTTTGGACTTTTTTTTATTTAGTCATGGGATATGGGTGTCCCTTGCTAGACCAGCATTTATTGCCCAGACATCAACGTTTGTTGTTTTAATTATTTAGTTCATATATTCCACATTCATCTTTATAGGTTTTCCATTTTAGAGGTAAGATGCATTTGGAATAGTATGGTAGCCAGCACTGATGCCTCACAGTGCCAGGGACCCAGGTTTGATTCCACCCTTGGGTGACTGTGTGGAATTTGCATGTTCTCCTCATGTCTGTGTGGGTTCTGCCAGGTACTCCGGTTCCCTCCTACAGTCCAAAGATGTGTAGGCTAGTTAAATTGGCCGTGCTAAATTGTCTGTAGTGATTAGGGATGAGCACGCTACGTGGATTCGTTATGGTAAACTTGTGGTATGGTCGTAGTGTCCCCTACTCCTGGACTGGGAGGCCCAGGTTCAAGTCCCACCTGCTCCAGACAGCTAACATCTCTGAACGGCTTGATTAGAAAAATAGGTTAAATTAAAAGCGAGTTTATGGGGAAGGGATAGGGGCCGGGGGTGGGATGCTCTTCAGAGTGTCAGTGCAGACTCGATGGCCGAATGGCCTTTTCGCACTTTGAATATCAGGGCTAGCTGGTACCTCCAGGAAATTTCATTAAATATTCTAGAGCTGCGGAAATCTCGTTTAACTTTGCGATTACATAGCAGAGAAAAAAAACATACAATATAAATGTTATTACATTTGACAAAAGAACCAATACTACATAAACAACAGAAATGCCTGAGTCAGTACAATTGCAAACAACACTGCAGATGCATGCGCAAACTCTGTGAGGAAGGGGATTTCTATTGGTCCCTTGTGGGACCTGGTGCATTCTGGGTGCTGTAGTTCCCGCTTCCATTAATAATGGGACTGAATACCAATTGGAGAACTACGACTCCCGGAGTGCAATGCGCCAAACTACTTTTGAGAAATTAAAACATGAATTTTAATGTCCGCTACATTATTTGTTTGATTCAACTTTAAACAGCTCGTACAAAAGAGATATTAGTTTATAGAAAAGCGTTGTTTGATGAAAAGGGTGCATGACGCTTACTTCCGATGAAGTGCTGCAGGTCAGATGGAAACAAAATGGTGGTGTGTGAGGAGGTGTTGGCGTTGCTAAGGGGGTTGCTCTTTCTTTATATTTTACATGCTCGATCTGGGAAAGTGGAAATATGATCACTGCTCCTGACGTCGTGGCTCTCACCCACGAAGATGAGTACGGACAGCAGTATAACGATGACTCGATGCCCCCTTTCCAATTTCAGTCTGAAAACCCCTGGTCCAAGACGGCCACGGCTAAATTCGAGAAGGATTTCATTCTGATTTCCGAGTTTTCCGAGCAGGTAGGCCCTCAGCCTTTGTTAACCATCCCAGACAATGCCCGCGGTAACTTTGATCTCAACTATTTCTCTCTCAGGATCATGTCTGTGGATTATCAAGCCTCCTTTGTGGGTCACCCCCCTGGTACTAGCTATCCTAAACTCAATTTTGTCGAGGACTCCAAGGTGGTACTGGGGGACTCCAAAGAAGGGGCTTTCGCCTACGTTCATCACTTGACTCTGTACGACTTGGAGGCGAGAGGGTTTGTAAGGCCGTTCTGTGTGGCTTACATCTCTGCTGATGAAAACAAGATTATGCAGCAGTTCCAGGAGCTTTCAGATGATTTTTCCAAAGCCTCGGAGTGTTTGAAAACTGGAAATAGGAAGGCGTTTGCCCATGAACTGGAAAAGAAACTCCAGGATTTGGAGTACACTCGGAATGTGTTACATAATGAAACAGAAATCCAGAAAAGATCTAACGATAAAGGATACTACTCGTCGGTAGCAATAGAAAAAGCCAATGAATTAGCCAATGTGGAAAAGTGTATAATCGAACATCAAGATCTTTTAATGCAGATAAGAACTTATTCTCACAAAAAAACACAAGATGCAGACTATTTTTACTATGATCCAGAATATGGCATAGAACAATCTGATGTTGGTTTGGAACAGATGGCAAAGACTGATGAAATGTGTGAAAAAAATAGCTTTTCTGATAGAACATCTTACACACCCAAGTTCACAAGGACTAAATCGGCAAAATGTTTTGAAAAAAAGTTGAAAACCTTAGAAGAACTTTGTGATAGTTACTTTTTTAATCAAACTCTGGAACAGCTTAAGCAGGTAGAGAAATTCTTCAGAGGTGACGTATGCTATTTGATTACCAGTCAGATTGAAAAAGAGCTGCTTAAACATCAGCAGCTAACCTCCTTTCTGTTTGAAGACCCACTACTCCTCACTGATGTAGAACAAACTGAAAAGCAACAGCGCCATGATAAACTGCTTCCAGCTTTTAACATTCTGAGTCCTAAGCTTTTAGTACACCCCTGCTTATCAAATGAAGCCACAAGCTTTGAATCATACAAGTCTTGCGTGGAGTCTGTGCCTATTAAATTGGATCAGCAAGTCAATGCAGAGAGTTACCATGGGACTGCTGCAGAATCTATACCATGTAAAAATCCTCCAGCAACTTCAGACTGTCTTGAATTGGAAGGGAAAGAAAAAGGAAGTATCAGTAGTGGTGAAAGCATTGAAGTGCTGGGTACAGAAAAATCCTGCCCAGCCCCAATATTTCCTAAGTCTGAGAGCCAAACAAACCTGCAGTGCCAGCATCCAGAAATTGGAAGGAGGAAATTTGTAGTCACCAAGCGTACAAACAGTGAGGACAGCATTGAAGTCCTCGGTACTACTGAAGCTCTGATACCTGAAGACTTTAAGGCTACCTACCCAAGTGCAATCTATGAAGAACCAGCTTTAGACAATGAAGAAGAAAAGCAGCTGAGCACTGATCTTGTGCAGCCTGATGCAAACATGAACCACGGTAATGGCTTCAGCAAGGCAGATTTTGAAAATACCGTAACTTTGCCTGTTTTATCTGAGGCTGTAGACTCTACTTGCTGTATTGGAAAAGAGAGCCCCAGTTTTACTAAATCAGTACCTACATTTGTAACTGAAGAATATAATGATGGAGTAGTCAATGTTCCACCACAACGCTGTAAAACCATGGACCAAATATTCCACAGTGATTTGTCACAGCAAATTGAGGGAAATGGATTATATGGTGCTGATGATCAAGTATTATCTAACTGTGAACTACAGTATAATGATATACCTGGCAATGGAGAAACAGCTCAAATTCCAGCTGATGAATATTTGGACAACATGAGTTATATGAGTGCATCATTATATTCTGACAGGACTCCATCTCCAGCCTTGCCAAACTGTCCAACAAAGAAGCTTTCTGGAAAACGCAAGAAACAGTCTGGCAAGAATTCACTGTGGTTCATAAGACAATACTCGTTTGCACAACAGGCAATTTTTTCATTGTTGTCTGGCCGGACACTTGTAATAGTAGGTGAGCAAGAAGGAAAAGTCAAGAAGCTTGTCAATGCTTTGTCAACATTTGTCCCCCATTGTGGCAGGGATTCAGACTCTATAAAGCAATGGGTAACGTTTCCTTTGCAAATCAACCATTTACAGACCTGGAAACTCATTGGACTTCAGAGGTGCGTATTAGATATAGTTACAATGTTTAAGATCAAGTTTACTTTATAATTGATTCAGAGCAAACAATATTGGAGCAGTAAATCAGCTTACCACTGTAGATATTTTTCTGAATGGAAGAATTGGTGAATTAATGATTAAAGTTTGGGGAAAATTGTAGAATCAGTCTTGTCAGTATTACTGACAAAGGCAGTTACAAATACTGTTCTAAGGGATACATTTCTCAAAGCTTCTTTTGATAACCTTTTCATTTTATTTTACCGGATCTTAACAAATTACCAAATTTTTGTCTTTTTTTCAATTGAAAGATAATTTACATTCAAAGATGTTGAGACTATTAATAAATGCCTGGACTTATTATTAGGATGATTTCCTGCTTAAATGTTATCTTATTTGCAAAAAACTAACTTTCTGCTCCACTGCTTGTAAGTACTCTGGTAGTGAGCACTATCTTGTCACCTCAGTAACATAAAAAATCCATTTGATAAGAGAGATTCTCAAACTGTTGCTCCCTCGCATGAGTCTCAATTTTGTAGCCTTTTTTTATGTGTCTACAAAGACTGATTTGTGACATCAGTAAGTTATTTAGGTTTCAGCCAGATTTACTATAGATTTCTCTTAAGACAAACTTGGGGCTATTTGACAGGTGTGCTCCAAGCAGGACAATAAATACCCATCCAAACACCAATATAAAATGTGCCTTAACATGACCCATCTTTGAGTGAACTTTTTTAAAAGTTTGTCTTCACTTGCAATAATGTTTCATCATTGTGAAATTTCTTGTCAAGTTTTGTAGCTTCATCTATTAATGTTTTACATGAGATTTATGTGTAGTTGTAGTTGTTAAAATTAATGTGAAACTAGACACTGGATGAATTTAACACCCATAGTCAGTTAGCAGCAAACATTTTGCATTTTATACGGTGCATCCAGAACCAACTGCACGATCAAATTCACTATCATAAAAACTAATCGTGTAGTGATTGTTTTTCTGCACCTGCTACACTGGTCTTATATTAAAAGAAGGTTCAATTATACATTCAGATCATGTATCATTTCCTTCTTGGAATCATTCAAATTACAGTCCAAGAATACTTGTTTTGATTCCAGTTACCTAAAGAAGGTGCGTTGATGACTTCTTAATAAACTGAACGCTATTCACATAAATGCCATTATTTTATACTCATTTCGATGTTAGAAATGAATATTAATCGTGCTTGGGAGGTTCACCAGTTTGCAGCTATCCTCCTTGGTATTTCTACATTGCAGAAAGGTATGAAGGGTTGATACCAGATCAATAGTTGAACTTCTGCACAAAAATCAAGAAGGGCACAACCAACTGCAGGTGGTAGTCTGCAACACGTGGGCTTTGCACCAGGCAGGTTCTGGTATAATTCCAGTGTAGTGCATAAATGAATTTTAATTTAATGGAAATCGCTGCTTTCACCTGCTGTGTTATGCTGGCTGGAAGCCATTTAGAATGTGAATATGCTACTTTGCCACATGATGGTACATCACTATTCTTAACTCTGGTCTACTGTTGAATGTGGCATTACATAATATCTGTAAGACATGCCATGTAGCAATGCCTCTGAAGATCTGCATCATTTCACCTTAAAGCAACATTGCAAACTTGTCTAGTTTAAAGCGTTCCTTAACAATGTAAAGATTGGGTCCAGAGAGGGAAATATGATAGTGAGATTTGTGATGCTCCCTTGTGTCCGAAACTATGTAAAGTGAACAGAAAATGTGTGGTTGAAGGAATTAATAACTTCTGCTTTCGTTCTTGAAATGGTTGATATTCTGGAAAAACCTAACTGCAGTCTGTCTTCTGTACAACTACACTCCGAAAGGTGGATCAGTGTCAAGGACTCTCCATATGTAAATAAAAGGGTGGCTTGGTGATGGGATACTGGCCTCTGTGGAGTTATTTCAGAGGCATATGTCAGGTATAGACAGCTGGGATCAAGTGAATCTTTTAGAGTGTAGGGGTGTAGGAGTACCCTTAAGAGTGCAGAAAGTGGGGATATGATATAGCTTTGGCAGATAAGGTTAAGGAGAATCCAATGAGATTCTATTGTATATTAAGGGCAAAAGAGCAACTAGGGAGACAATAGGGCCCTTTAAAGATCAATGAGGCCAACTTTGTGTGGTACCACAGGAGCTCTGAAACAAATATTTTGCATCAGTATTTACTGTGGAGAACAACATGAAAGTTAAGGAACTTGGGGAAGTAAATAGTTAAGTATTGAAAAGAGTCCATGTTACAGAAGAGGAGGCACTGGAGGTCTTAAAATGCATAATGGTAAATAAATCCCCAGGACCTAATCAAAGACTTCAGCCAAGCGCTTAACGAGGATCTACGTGGTAGACTGGTTAGTAAGGTTCAATCACATGGGATCCAGGGGGAGCTTGCCAGTTTGATACAAAATTGGCTTGAAGATACAAGACAGGGCAGTGGTAAAGTGTTGCTTTTTGGACTGGAGGCCTGTGACCACTGGTGGGCCACAATGATTGGTGCTGGGTCCACTGCTTTTCATAATTTATATAAATGATTTGGATGTGAATATAGGAGACATGATTAGTAAGTTTTCAGATGACATCACAACAGGTGACGTGGTGGACAGTGTAAAAGATTCTCCAAATACAACAGGACTTTGATCAGATGGAGTTTTATTTAGATAAATGTGACGTGTTGCATTTTGGTAAGACAAACCAGGGTAGGATTGAGACAGTTAATGGTAGGGCCTTGGGTAGTGTTGCCGAACAAAAAGATCTAGGGATGCAGTGGAGTCGCAGGTTGGCAGGGTGGTGAAGAAGGCGTTTGGCACACTTGCCTTCATTGGTCAGAACATTGAGTATAGGAGTTAGGATGTCATATCCCATCTCTACGGGACATTGGTGAGGCCACCTTTAGAATACTGCATACAGTTCTGGTCACCCTTCTAAAGGAACGGTGTTGTTATAGTTGAGACCGTACAGAAAAGATTTACAAGGATGTTGCTGGGACTGGAGGCTTTGAGTTACAGGGAGAGGCTGAATAGGCTGCGGCTTTTTTCCCATGGAGTGTTGGATGCTCAGCAGTGATATTAGAGGTTTATAAAATCATGAGGAGCACAGATTGGTTGAATAGCCAAGGTCTTTTTCCAGAGGTGGTGAGTCTAAAACTAGAGGGTGTATGTTTTAGGTGAAAAGCGAAAGATTTAAAAGGGACCTGAGGGGGTAACTTTATCCATGCAGAGGGTGGTATGCGTATGCAACGAGCTGCCAGAGGAAGTGATGGAGTAGGATACAGTTACAACATTTAAAAGGCATCTGGACAGGAATGTGACTAGGAAGGGTTTAGAGGGATATGGGCTAAATGCTGGCAAATGGGACAAGGTTACACTGGGAGGTCTGGTCAGCATGGATGAGTTGGACTGAAGGGTGTACGTCCATCCTGTATGAGTCTATATAAGAAAGGTCACCTTTTGCTAGTAACTGTATTGGGCAGTCCAAGCAAGTTGTTAGTTGTTAATGAAATGATCAAAACACTTGGGGTATTAGATTGTGGTGCAACTATTGTCACGGATATGACTGACGTTCTATTTTTTTAAACCCTGCTGCACTTCCTGAGGACATTTTGTTGAAATCTTTTAAATCAACCATCTGTGCTTCAACTTTGTTGCTGTAGTTAATGATTGCTATGACTTCTAATGCCAGTTTCTGCCAAACATATGGGAACCGAGTAAATCACATTATGAGGGGGAAATTAAAATCCTTTCTCTGATCTGATTGTGATAATCATGCATGCTGTTTTGAAGTTCACTATCTGGAGTTTTGAAATGCATTATTTTATCATTTTGGCAATAACTTTAAAGCAAACTGTATTGTTGATTTTGAGACACAAACCATACATGTAAAGTTCACTTGTCCAAGGTTATCTTGAAGGATTCTGTTATTCAGACTGAAGATGAAAAGGCCAAGATTGAAATTTTGAAATTGATATTAATAAGTGTGTATATATTCCTATCATTCATGAGCAGCCCTATAGTGAATGAAGTGGTAATGTTCTATTTCTTTGGCTTTTCTAGAACAGTTTCTCCTCTGGGTTCCAGTATTTTGCACTCGCTGAATCGGTACAGTCGCTACATCAGCATACTAGACTGTGACAACAAAACTCTACGTTGCCCACAATATAAAGGACAGCTAATCACCAGGCTGGCAGACCACAGGACTCAGATAAAGAGGGGCAGCACGTACTCCATGCATGTTCACAATATGTTGACCCAACTGTGCTCCCAGGCCTTTCTGTATGCTTTCTGTCATCATCTGCACCTTCCCATTGATGAAAGAGAAACTGAAGAATTAGTCACATATCGAAGGGTAAACTTTTTAAAGCACCACCTGGGCTTGACGAATGATGATAGCAAGATTGTACAATACTTTGCAGAACTGATAAAGATGCACTACCTACATGAACCTGGAAAGGGCTTAAATCCAGTTCTACAATTTAACTACATCTCCAGTAGTGTGTTTAAGATCTAGTTCCGCCACATTCTCCATTCAATGCCAATGTTTTAATTTGTACTTGGATTAGAGAAAAGCATGATCTAATTCTGTTGGCATTTTTTTACATTGCTGTACTGTCACCTGCACTGTGAAAATGCATCGGTCTGGCTATGGCAGGTAAAGGAAGGTTGAGCATTTCTTATTTGGTGTTTTTGTGATGTAGAGAATTTATAGATCTGGTAAGCTGAAGTATTTTCAGCGCAGTATCCTAAGTTGTATTTTTAAAACATAGCAAGTTTAAAGAAAACCTCAGATGATTTAATACACTGAGAGGAATGGGATTTTGCAGTTTCCTGAGCCACAGATGAAATAAGAACCCGTAGTTCTGAGACTTGCTATCTAAGTCTTTAGATCTGTTTATCAAGGTATTGGGTGAACAAGAAAATTGAATCCAGGTCAAGGTGTACTAACTGTAGTCCAGATAAAGCACTTCACTAAATGGAGCTCTGAAACTGATTATCACACAGTCAGAGGCCTCTGAGATGTACTGGTTTGAGTTTAACGGAGCTGTTGGGTGAATTTCAGGAGCCAAGGATAGGACAAATAGTGGCTAAACTTTCAGAACAATATCCAACCTGTCTATCAGATTGTGTTTAGAAGATTGGGGGTGGGGGTATTATTGCCAGTTTTCCAATTCAGCTTTAACTGAACAACAATGACTTTTGAACTGCCAAACGTGACCTATAGGTTATATGTGAAGTCTTCATTGGTTGTGTTGAAGCAGTAGCATTATAACAAGATTGTCTGCTGTTCTCAAGTATTAAATCTGAAAAGTCACTCTTGGAAATAAACTTAGCTTTTTTTAATAGGATATGGTGGATTCCATGTCTGATATAAGGGTAAGGTGATAAGATTACATACCTCATAGTATTATGGCAGTAGATGCTTTTTCAGGATGCATGATTTTGATTGTTCGTTCACTGTCAACAACAAATATGATCCAAATCTCCTAATATTGTCTCCAATAGCTTACACTTTGCCTGGATCTGTATGTAATCTGCATGCTGCCAGTATGTGAGCAGATCTCATACTGGATTTGCAATGCCCACATCTGGCCAAGTTTTACTAGTGGTATATGCTTATTTATTAGCAGCCCATTTCTGGGAGTGGCAAGGAAATAGGCTGGAAATAAACTTATTTCCGTGTTAGTGTAAAGTTAGCTCAGCCACTTGATTCACTCGAGTGTTGCAATACTCATTTTTCTCCATCAGCACTTTGATCAGTTTCAGAAGGAAGTGAAATGCTACATTGGGTTTACAGAAAATTTGCATTTAAAATGGAAAATAGCTGTTGATTTAATTGTGTTGATGGTTTCATTCAGCATTTTAATTGGGGGTGAAGAGTGCTGCATTTCAAGATATGGTCCCATTGTGCAGAAGGAGCTCTTCACTTTGTTCATTTGAATACTGCTAAGTGAATGCCTGTATATACAGAGTTATAATGGGGACAGGTTGGAGTGAACATACTGGTTTGCTTTTCTATTCCTTCAGGTAGTATGGTTGAGGGCTGTGCACAGATGTTTGCCCTCTTACTCAGGAATGGCATGCAGCAAATCTGATCCTGAAAAGCAAGCAAGGAAGGAAAATAATGCTGCATCATTTCGCATTCCAAAAACTAAACAGTTTTTTTTTTATGCTGACAGTTTGCCTGACGAATCCAAATTGCAAGTCTTTGAGCTGACTAGGGCACCACAAACTGAAGTAATGCAACCCTATTACTCCTTTTTATGTAGACCCAACAACCAATTTTGTCTATTCACTCGTTTCACATTTTCAGATCCTGTCTTGTTTGCTAGTTGCTCAGATACTACAGCACGTTAAGAAAACTTGCATGCAAAGCGTCCCTCAAAAGGGTTTCAGCAGAACGCAAGCAGTTGTGAAACACAATGCCATGAAATTCAGCACCTTAACTTCATTGTCATGGTTAAAAATGAAAAGCCTACTCCCATTTTCCTTTTCCAGAGTCAAACAGAAGAATGATGGCTTTACTGTTAATTATCTTCCGTCTCAGCAGTCTTTAACTGTTTAAATATAAAAGCGTCAAACTTCTTTAGGACAATTTATTACATCATTTTTTATTAATTCTGTTCACGGGAAAGCCAATTGAAATGTCAGGGGCATTCTGGACACTTGAAGGTATTTTTTTAATCACACTGTTACCTTAGACAATCTCCTTTCACTTTCACAATGCCAGTCTTGCAATCAAGTGGTATTGCACACTATTTGGATGGTTAAAAATGAGCAAACCCAACCAAAGAATTTTCGTTAACTATCATTTAGAAGACCTTTTGTTTAGTTGTCTTATTTTTCCCCTCTAGCTTCAGTTTTTTTTTCTCTCAAAAGCAGTCAGGTCATTCTTGACTATGGTTGCTTAATGATCTTCATTTCATCCTTTTTATAGCTATTCTTCATCTGTGAAAATAAGTAATAAGTGTTGCCAGTCAAGAATTGAGAATGTGACAGCCAAGTCCAAACCTATTCACATATAATATGTATTTTCCAGTAGAAACATAAAAAATAGTAATTTGAAGAAGGAATCTCAACTGGCCACTTCCCTTCCAATTCCAGTTGTATTCATGTCACTGCTGCTTTGGCCAAGATTGATTAACTTGACACGTTCCCAGAATTGAATCAAAGACCTTGTGAACCATCTGTGAACCATCTCAATTGTTGGTGTATTAGTTCTGGCATTCCATAATGCAAGTAAAAAATTGACTTTTGTAAACTGGGTGACATTGAAAAAAACTACGGCTGAAAGGAAAGGATTACAATCCACTTGAAGACCCCCTCTCCCATTTAAAACGATAAGACGTTAGGCCTTTTGATGCATTCAAAATGATTAAGTTCTTTGGTTTCTGCATGTTCTACATATCTTTGTCTCAATTTGATGGCAGTACAGGTTTAAACCCCAATCCAGAGCTGTTTTATGATTGACGTGACTGTGAAATAGTTCTACTATCCTAGCCAACATTTTATCTTTCAAATTAGTACCACTAAAACAGATTTTTTTTTTATTGGTGTTTTCAGAACCTTGCTATGCAAAAGCTGTTTCTCTACAAGTGACTACACTTAATAAGATTGAATTGACTGTTGAACACTGACACATCCTGAGCTTGTAAAAGACTCTGTAAATATAAATTCTTCCTGTCACTGAGCATTGATGTAATGTCACTTGATACCTGCAGTACTTGGCTAACTAACAGTGTGCCACAGATGAGCGTTCTTTTCTGAAGGTCTGTATCCTTAAACTCTGCTTTTACTCTCTCTTCCCATTTCCCTCCATCACCCCCCACCCCCAAAAATACTCAAGCCTCTGAATAATATGTTTTACCTAATATGTTTCCTTTATGAAAATGTTCAATAAAGTTGACCTTGCTTACTCGCCTCATCACTGAAAACATTTTCTAAAAGAAAATTAGGGTATATTATTCATTTATTGATCCATATTTCAGTTCCCTTTCTAGTTATATTTAAGGATGCACACTTGTTGGTTGCAGCCCTGTTTGAGGATTCACTTGAGGATTCAAATGTTGTTGTTTCTGTAAGGGGAAAATTGGACAAAAATAGTTAGGAGATGTGCAACAGTTTAAGGCAGTTTATGTAGGATTGTCAGGTTCAGAATCCAGTTTTCCTAATCACAACATTATTCAAGATGACATCATAATAGTACCTTAATTTACACTCAGTGCACTGTGGAATCGCGTAGACTAATGTGATCCAACACTTAATAGTGCAATATTAACTTGCACATAATGATTTTTGAAAAAGAATTTGAAGAGGAAATGGAACCCATGTTTGAGATCGCTCCCTCATCTTGTCCTGGAGGCATTCATTTTTACTGGATTAGGATCTATTAGTGCTTTCTGCAACTTTGCCTTTCTCACTGTGCTGTATGTGAGCAAATACTGAGAACTGAGGCATGATACCAGAGTATGATCTGCCTCTGGTTTAGGGCACCTCCCAGCCAGGATCATTGAAATACAATAGAAACAGGATCTCTCACCAGCCCAGGAATGTTTGTGGTAGTTGTATTATTTGGCAATTCTCTCAAGTGGCATGGAAATATGAGAGACATTATTAAAAATTCAGATGTTCTACAATTAGATGTCTTTCTTTGTTTTGAGAGTCTATTTTGTGTCCTGGAGCTGTGCATTTTTCTTTGTTCCAGTTTCTGGAATCTTCCAGTGTTGCTGCTGAATACTTTTATATATTAATTCTATATATAATTTATTACTTTGTCTTTTCTTGGTTCCCAGTTCACTTTTTGAAGAATGGTAGAAATTAATAAGTTGCATTTCAGCGAGCAGATCATGCATTCCCTTTATAAATCATGTAACTATATAATCTGGCTGAATATAAACTGTTCAAGATTCATCAAATTTACTTGAAGTGCTGCATTTTTGATGCTGATTAATTCATTTGAATCCAGATTTAAAAACCCAATGAATGTATAGAACAGTTCTGTATCCAGTTTCTGTCACGTCTATTGGCTTATTGAGGATCTGCTCTGAACGAATGGTAACAGCAATAATGCAAAATGTGTACTTGCTCTGAAAGGCTGGCATATGAGTGAATATAAAGCATCTGTTCACTAAGCACATTAACATCTTATTAAACAAGACAATACATGTTTAACCAGCATGGTGTAATAGAACTGACAGTTGAACTTGGCTCAGTGCTGGACAATTATGGTTTGCTACAGCCTGAAAACTGAAAGTACAAAACTATTAACTTGATAATTTTGAAAAGCACACTTAAAGATAGTGGGTTTCTGTCAAAGCTATTTTGGAAAGAAAAATGTTTTAAGAAATGTACTGTGAATAGTTGTTTGCACTGACTGCCTTGATTATCCTCTTAGCCCAACTCAAAGCAACTGAATGTAACTACCATGCAAAATGCTCATGTATGACTTCATTAGTCACTTAAGTAGTTACAATTTTTTTAAAAAAAAAGGAATGGTTTGTTTACTGAATTGTATATTAGGCTTATTTTCCTAATATTTACCCCCAGAAATATCTACTTTCCTGGACACAAAGATCATAAATGGGAGCAGAGACCTTTTAGGTATATACAGATCCATGGTATTGATGCAACTGAGCCAGGAGAGACTTGCCGATTGCATTTTCCTGGTACAATGCCTAAGCAGGCAGCCAAGGAAATGCGGCAGCACTTTCCAAAACAGAAATACTTCTATGGGCATGAAAAAGAGCAGCTCAGTGTGAGTGCAATGTTTTGGCCTGTGGCAAAGAGATCTAGAAAATGTCCCGTTTCTTTTTAAATTCCCTTTAGAGATCTTTTGTCTTAACAAGCCTTGGGAATAGTACATTCAGTCTGCTGACAGTCAGAAAAGCAATATTAGACAATGGAAGTAATGTCTAGTGCATAAGTCTGAGATGCCCACATTTGTGTCCAGAAGTGAGGTAGGACAAGATTATTTTCCAATTCTTTGAATTTGCTATGTGGCATAGTCTAACATCAATCGGCATTGGAAGGTACCTTCACACCTTAAACACACAAGTTTCCACCTTCTGAGACAGCTTAGATGTATCTGGATGCTATTACATACAGTAATCACTGCATGCAGAAGCATGATATTTTCATTTGTGGAACAATGTGAATGTACTTTGAATTTTACCTTGTGTCCAGTAGCTGGTCAAAGGTGGCTGAAACCTGTTTACATGTGGGCATAAACACCCCTGCAACTGTATGAAGTACGTAGTCAGTGTGCATGAAGAATCACTAGCTAATATGGTTTCCTTTTCCAGGGATAGAATGTAACAGTCTGATTTTACTTTATTCTGACTTGTTTTCTAAGTGCCAGTTGGAGGACACTATCAGTCTTGTATTTTAAACTGTAATTATGTTGTATCAAACTGTACTCTGTTCCTTTTAACCACATCCTTTAATTCCTTATTTATTAAAAAGTACTTAGTATTGTAAATAAAAGTTAAAACAGAAAATGTTGGATATACTCAGAAGGTCAGGCAACGTTCACGGAGAAAGGAACAATTATCATTTCAGTTTTGCCTTTCATCTGAGCCTACTGATGGATATGAAAATGTAAAGATGATTTGATTTTTGCATTGAATTACTATGTGGTTATCACTGCAATGTATATTTCAATTTTAGATTTGGATTCACCTGCTTGCATTTTTGTTTTATTTCTGGCCTCATCTGTCACGCAACCAAGTGACTTCAATTCTATACTATTTATCTCCTCGACTTGGTAAAGTTGCTCACCCCAAATGAGCTGCAATAGGCCCAAAAGCTCAATAAACCTGGCCAGCTGTCCAACACAGCTGTTGGCCATAGATTACAGACCTCCCTCATCAATTTCTGAATGCTAGCTGTCATGACTTTGCTTTGCTGTCTATTTAACTGGGATTTTATGACCAGTCAAGCCTCACCTGTCTAGAGGGAGAAATAAGTCTCTCGGTATCTATGTTAAACAAATACTTCCCTCTTAAAAACCTGCTTTAGCCAAAAAGGAACTGTCCAATTAAAAAGGATATATTCATCAGCTTCTAAATGTGACCACATAGCAGTTCCATACTTTGTTCATGTTTAGACAAGTTGGCCCTGAATACATGCTATTCTTCCTTCAATCACATTGACTCCTTAAATCGTCTAATTCATAAAGTTGTTTCCAAGGCTGTAGGGTTAAACCTACTCCTCTTCGTTTTGGGAACATACCGATAATTGCATTGTAACTGGAATTTCTTGTAAGTACAGTTCAGATGTAACATCTTTGTTTACTAAGACAGAGACAGAACATGTTAAGCCCTGAAACTTTACCCTGTTGACAAGACTTTAGTTTGCAAGGCTGATGTTATTGCAATAATGTTCATCCATCAGAATATGACTATAATAAATTCTGATCCAGTTATTGGAAGCATATGTTTTTTAATAATGTTGAAATTTGCACTTTCTTGCTTATTAATTTTGCACAAAATGAGTTGTTTTGAAATGCCAGGTGTTGTCTCTTATGTAATTATTTATGTAACTGTCCTGGTTTCGGTTTGAAAGTGTATGTCCATTTAATTATTGTTGTCTTAAAATGTTGTGCCTTCCACTTGTAATTAATCATTCAAACATTGTGTACCTTAATAAAACATTTTTGCAGCTCGTTTGTGTTGTATTGTGCCATTTGTGTAATTATTATTGCCCTCTGGTTGTCCAACCAACTGATTCACTATACCCAATTAAGGGTGCAGCTAGCGAGCTACTTGTATTACCTTTTTCAAATCTTCTCCATTCCTTCAATGGAGAGATCAAACCAGGTGATCGTAGCTGCCAGGTCTCCTACCCTCAGTGACTTAAGGACGTACACACCCACTAATACTTGTCCTATCTGCCCAGTGTGCCAATAAACAGTCCAATGGTCTTGAAGCTAAGTTAGCAGAATGTTGTGGAGTTCAGCAAGACATTCTGGTCACCTAGTATTTATCGCAACCATTTAGGCTAATTTGTTCAGAGTGGGGGAAGAGGGGTAGCTCAAGGACGTCAATGCATGTTACACACTGCTCTGGAGTGGCCATGGTGGAAAAAACACACAGTATGAAGCAGGGAGTAGGCTTTGCTGTAATGAACATTGATTGTAACAAGGCATCTTAGATGTGCTTGTTCCGTGCACTGGCACACAACATATTAAGTTGTGACCAGGCAGGATGGTTTGTGTAAGCAAAAGTGTGTAGCCTTGACTACTTGATTGACCAGCATCTTATTTCTTAACGATCAAACAGGCAGCACCTTGATTTCACAGCTTATGTGAATAGGAAAGCACCGCGGATGCTGTAAATCAGGAACAAAAACATGATGACTGGGGGAGAAACATCATTAGAGCAAGGAGAACGGGAGGGTGAGAAGCAAAGCTCCACAGCAGTCTCTGCTATCTTGTAAATCTAAATCAAAATCTAAGTTCGCAAAACCGAAAGGACTGCAGATGCTGTAAATCCGGGACTTTCGCAGAAGTTGCTGGAAAAGCTCAGCAAGTCTGGCAGCATCTGTGAGCAAGGGTCACCGGACCCGAAACGTTAACCCTAAGTTTGCAACCCCATTTGAGAAGTCCTGTTTTAGGAGTTAAACGTACTACTTCGATTTCTCCCATCGTTTGCTAAGGTAAAATCTTCAATATATTCACTATAACTATCCTACTATGGTCCATAGTCATATATTCCAGTTCTCTTTCGATGGTAATAACATACTGGGGAAACTCAACGGATCTGGCATGACCATAGACAGAAAAACAGAGTTACCGTTTCGAGGCCGGTATGACTTCTCCAGTAACTTCTTTTGAACTTAGTTCTTAAACTTCTCTTCCAACAAGAGTGCACAACTACGCTAACATCAATACAGCTGATATAAAAAGAAAAGTCTCCACTGAACTCTTTAGTGACCGGTCCACGGATATTACTACGACGTCCACCCGGACCGCGAAATCTTTGTCCAGAAAGACAAACAGCGACCCGTCGTGGTGTCCTTGCCTCTGATTGGGTTGTTAACGCAGTCCCGCCACGCGGTGCCCCAGCACTTGCGAAGCGTTGTGGGATTTGTAGTCTTCATGGCCGCGCAGGTTCAGCGCTTGCCGCCAAAACGAAACTACAAATCCCAGCAGGTCGTGTGGGACTGCCTGGAAGCGAGGAGGAGGAGGAGGAGGGAAGGAGAGAAAAATTCCTTCCCTGGATGCTGGTAAAGATGGCGGCTTGGGGAAGGAGGCGCGGTATCACCGGGATGAGGGAAAGGTCAGTACCCGCGTTCTTGCATCTTTTTTCCCCCCTCCTGATCGGACGGAAGGAGGGAAGGCCTTGGCACCATTTATGACGCGTGTTGCCTTTGGCTTGCAGCAACTGATGGCGGCTTGTGTAGTTAAATCGAGCGGGATGAAGCTTCACATTGGCCGGCCTAACACATAGGCCGGGCGGGGGAGCTCCGAAACTCACTCGGCCTGGCTTTTAGTGTAAAAACGAATGGACTCTAGATGAAACGTGGCTGATTATATTGGTAAACTCCACCATCCGTGTTGGGGGAGGGGAGGATGCCCCTGTTTTGACCCCCAGCTCTTCTGGAAGCTTCCAAATTTGAAGTGTGTCTGTGGAGTTTGAAACCATAAAGGGATTTGTTTTTAGGAGTCATGGGGCCAGTTAAGAACACTTCGAATTGCCTTCTTCTTGGCGGTCTGTCTAGATTGGTCGCGAAGTGATGAGATGCTGCACCGTTTGTTCGTGAGGTTTTAGGCAGAGTTCAGTAACCCTTGTGGTCGAATAAGTGGAGAGGGAATGAAGTAAATCATTAAGATACCGAAATTTGTAGCGTTGCTGACCTTTATTGCCTAGTATGAAATTGATACGAAGTAAAATGGACAAATCTGTAGGGTCTGTTTAGGCTTCAAGGGCTGTTTACGGATGAATCTCTCGGTGAGATATTCATATAATGTAACTTCCATTTATATCATGAGTCAAAGTTAATTTGTTTCCAAATACAAGTGGTTATTTGTACTGGTTCTAAACTCAGTTTTTACATAGAATTATTTTTAAAGTTAACATTGAAATGCGCAGTATTAACCTGCAAGATTTGATGTGGTTAGCAACATGAGTGGATGCAACAACTTTATGGCTCAAAATCAGCAACTCCAGTGGCTGTAAAAGAAACGGGCACTTAATTTCATTCTCCCCCAAAATGGGCTCAGTAATGCCATCAAAGGTGCATAAAGTGACATCGGTACTCAATTATTTCAATCCCACACTAAAAAAATAAATTGAATTGTAGAGTTAGAATCAAGATTTTTTTTAAAATGGCATCTTTTTAGTGGGATAACTTTAGAAGTATCTCAAATTAAAGGTTGTTCTCTGTTGTATAGAAACTACTGCAAATTATTAAAATATTATATCTATAATACTTTAGTTAGAATCATAGAATCCCTACAGTGTGGAAGCAATCCATTAACAGTTCTTAAAATCATTCAGCTACATTTGAAAGCACTTCTCCCTCCATTCCAATATATGACTAAAACAAAACTAGAAAAAAAACTGACCCGTAAAAGGCAATTAATTGAACAAATCTGTAGCTGTTGAATATTTGTGAAAAATATTTCTACTGACAATGTTTAAATCAGTTTCTTGCCTCAACCTATTTTTAAAAATATGTTAAGATTCTAGGGCTTTTAAAAAGTGCACTTGAGCGTGTGTACCTTGGAGATTCTGTTTGGAAAACAGCAAATTGCAATCCTGTTGTCCTACCACTATATTAAACATATTATATAAAAATGTGCTTTTCATGACATTAAAGTGTTCTGAAGTGCTTAATAAGCAATTAAAGGAAATGAGGATTCAATCTCGACACAACAGCTACCACAAATAGCAAGTGATAAATTACTGGATTATCTATTTTTTAATACCGAAAGATAAATGTTGGCCAACACTGCCATATTGTGTCCTGTGATCTTTAACGTCTACTTAAGTGGGCAGAAACCTCAGCTTTAAAAAATACTGACAATCTTTTTGTTGACTCTCACATTAGACCAGTAGACTTCCATGGAATGGAAAATATGCCAACTTAAAATCTGTACAATCATAAATTTTCTATTTGTGTTTCTATATGTTATACTCACTGGTTTGCTCCTTTTGAGTTTCTGAGGCTGGAATTTGGAAGGGTTATTTTTTGTGTTTTTAATCTCATATCAGGATGATTCTCAAATCAAGTTTTGCTACAGACAGCTTGAGCTATAAACAAATGAATAGTAATGTTGCCATTGAACTTTAATCCCATAAGCCTCTGTTGTATGCTGCCCAGTGCTTGTGAAACCTAAACTATACCATTCTCTGGAGGGCTTCATGTCCAGGTGATGAAACATGAACGGCGATATTAAATCGGCAATTCATCTCCTGTGGTTTACATACTATGACTGTGTAGAAATAACAGCAAATGATCAATGTCAGTATTCCCTGGTTCAGACTTTGCAATAGCAAACTCATGCATGGTGGTGGAATTGTCTCCTGTGCAACTTGTCACTCTCCCCTCTCTTGCACCCAACACCCCCTCCAACTCCAAAAAAGCACCACTTACCCAGTTGTTGTACTCTAATCGCCACTTTCTTTTTGTTTGAGTCTTTGACATTTCCTCCACATAAATGTTAAGCTCTGATGAAGGGCTTCGGCCCGAAACGTTTATGTTCCTGCTCCTCAGATGCTGTCTGACCTGCTGTGCTTACTGTCTCCAAATATTAAGCCTAATACCTTTAGCTGCATTTCTTTATAATGAAGCTGTTTGTTTTGTTAAATATTGTTGTTTATCAACGTGTAAGGTCATGCACCTGTAACTTGGCATTCATGTGTGTATCAGTAGTTTGGCAAGCAACATGTTTGCAGAGTCATTTAGTGTTGATGTCCAGTGGACATGATAACGTTCTGCTTCTCTGCACATTGTTGTATGTACATTTCAACATTTCACAGTGAAGTGACTGGTGACTCAATATTCCCCTGTATCAGTTTAACTCCGAATTGTTGTCCCAGATGACATGCAACTTCCTGGGAGGTACCAGGCAACTCGTGGGCTGTGTGTGTCATGATCTTATTTGTTTCTTCAATTGCTACAGCTGAATGTTGAGCTCAGACTTAATATTCTGGCCAACAGTCTTATCTGTCAATTTATTTTTAAAAGAAAATGTTCCTTGCTTGAAATATCATTGAAAGGGAGAGTATGCAATATGCCATGCAAAGACCTTTAAAAGATAACCTTTTGAAAAGCTACCATTATTATTTGATGCATTGCAACTAAATAGTTAGAACTAATTAATGCTGCTACTATATTAACTTTTGATTTGTAGACCCCCTCCCTTCAACAGACTTGTACGGCGGAGACACTTTTTGTCTTTTTTTATCCTACATATCTAAACAGCTGCTAATCCTATGTCTTTATTGCATATTGAAAATCATCAGTGTATAAATTGTTACTATAAAAGTATTCATGTCCTTTCCATCAATAAAGTTAATGACATACCCTTGATATACTTAAACTTGGAAAGACTTGTGGGTTTATGCATAAAGTTTCTTGATTTGAGCTGAATATTCCTTGAGAATATGATAAAGCGTAGTTAATATTGAGTTTGCAAAAATTATTTATTTGCCACAGTCTGATTTCTGTATTTTTTCAAAGTTTTTAAAAAAAATTATCCTGAATTTGAAGAGTTCTGTTCAAAATGTGTTGCTACAGGCAGTGACTTGAGATTTTTTTTTAACTTCCCTACACTACATACAGTTCCTCTTGGTTATCTTGTTTTGCCTGTGCAGGTGTGTCTTTAAGTGTGTCTTGCTGATTCCACCCAGATCTTCTTTTGAGCTTTCATTTTTTCCTTTCATGGAGCTGGTTGTATGAACCAATAGGTGATTTATTAGTTACTGTAACTGAGGTGTCAGCTCATTTTCCATGAAGAAAGCTTGGTGATTAGCAGAGGTTGACTTTGGAAGTCATGATTAGGTGATTTAATTTTTTTTGTGAGGATGGTGAAGTATTTTCTTCGGGGTCAAAAAAGTGAACATGTAGCAAAGATTTCGATGAAAAGCTAAAGAATAAAAGCGGAAGTAAGACCAAATTATTTTAATATAAATCTATATTGAGTGGGTGAGAAATGAGAGGTTAGAAAATTCAAGAAAAGGGTTTTGGAAATACATAGACTTGAACATCTTTGAAGAGCCTGGCAATTTTGTGTTGTGCCTGTCATAATACAACAGGTAATATTGCCAAATGGAAATTGGATTCTATTGATTCTATAGTAGTGGTGCAATAGAACAGTTATACTGCAAACTGTCCAGATGGAATTTTAAATTGCATTCAACCTGCAGAAGAAGTTATCAAATAAGTGCAATGTTACTCTTTTTTTTTATGATCACCCAAGATACAAAGATTCCTCACCATTTTAAAAAAAAAAATCTTGTATGGAGTTTATCTAATATGCAACATGTTCTTCAGGTCAAAGGTGTGGCCATGGGTACCCACATCGACTCCTCCCAAAACTCTTACTGCAATATATCGATGATATCATGCATGCTGCTTCCCTCTCTCATCCGGAATTGGAAAAGTTCATCAATTTCGCTTTCAAATTTTAATCTTTCCCTCACTTTCACCTGGTCTATCTTTGACACCTCCCTTCCTTTGGTCAACATCTCTGTTTCCATTTCTGGGGATAGACTGGCCACTAGCATCCACTGTAAACCCACTGACTCCCACAGCTACATGCACTGTATGACTTTGCACACTGCTTCCTGTAATGACTCATTCTCCCAGCTTTTCCGTCTCCATCGCATTTGTTCCAATGAGGCCAACTTCAACAAGGGAGCCTCTGAAATTTCCACCTTCTTCCTCAACCGAGGATTCCCCAGCACCCGTTGTCTACAGGGCCCTCAACCAGGTCCGACCCGTCTCCCGCACTTCTACCCTCACCCCCTCTCTTCCCTCCTACAACAATGATAGGGTTCCCCTTGTCCTTACCTACCTCTCACCAGCATCCACGTCCAGAAGATCATTAGCCACCATTTCCACCATCTCCAGCAAGATGATACCACCAGACATACATTACCATCCCTTCCTTTGTCTGCCTACAGCAGGGACTGTTCCCTCCTGGGCACCCTGGTCAACACAACCTTCATTCTCAACATCCCCTGACAGCCTCACAACACCTTCCCCTGTAACCGCGTAGGTGTAACACCTGCCCATTTACCTCCTCAGTATCCAAGGACCCAAACATGCCTTCCAGCTGAAGCAGTCCTTCGCACAATCTACTCTACTGCATTCGTTGCTCACAATGTGGTCTCCTCTACATTGGGAAAACAAAGCATAGACTGGATGACTGCTTCACAGAGCATCTGCGTTCTGCCTGCGGAAATGACAGTGAGCTTTAACACACCACCCTGTTCCCTGGCTAACACCTCTGTCTCAGGCCTGCTGCAGTGTTCCTGCAGTGTTCCAGCAATGCTCAGCACAAGTTGGAAGAACAACACCTCATTTTCCACTTGGGGACTTTGCAGCCCTCTATCACGTTCAGTAATTTTAGGGCCTGAACTCTCCCATGTCCTAGCCCCCTACCCCACACACCAGTCCTTGTTATCACAGTCTACCATAACACAGTACCTATTGTTAGCCTTTAACAGTCTCTATTATCAGCTATTCACCCTCTTAGCCAGATCATTATCTATTCCTTTGGCTATCCAACTGCTCTTCTCTCTCTTTAGGCTCTTATAACCCCACCTATCATTTACACCTTACCCCCTCTCCCCACCCTATCTTCTGTATATAAACCAATATTTTCCTAGCTACCATCCGTTCTGAGGAACGGCCACCGGATCCAAAACGTTAACTCTGATTTCTCTTCACAGATGCTGCCAGACCTGCTGAGCTTTTCCAGCAACTTCTGTTTTTGTTGGAGAATATTCGCGCCTGCCTTGAAAATATATCGCACTTGTGTTTAACTGAATGTTGCCGAAAGCTTTCTTGGGGAGGGCAAAGGGCAGCTACAGAAGCTGATTCTGTTGGAGTTTAACTAATAAAAATGCTTAACACCTTAACTCCAACTACCTATCTTGATAAGTTTCCTGCTTCTGTTCTTCCTATTAGGAAATTGGTCTACAGTGTTGTCTGGAGCAGAGTGGAGGGAATACCAATTCCATATTACACACCTAACCTTCCAGGTTCTGCAGGCCAAGTTGGTTGAGTCATGCACTAAAGTACTGCAGATCCACTAGATAAGAAAATTAGATACCAAAAAGAGGAATTATTAGGTTTGGATCTTTGCTAGACAGTTGGTAAGTATGTAGGAGCGGCCTGAGAGTTCCTTGGTGCGCAGCACAGCTCATAAAGTGCAGTTACATGGCTGCCTTCATTCGTGACTGTTCCATTCACTGGTGTTCCAGCTGTTAAAGGTGTAAACTTTAGCAACAGCTGTTTGCCATCATTAAAACTGCCCGTTTCCATGTCTGTAACAATACCCAAATCTTCTGTTTCATCTGTTTTCACATGCTGAAACCCTCACCAATGCCTTTATGACCTCTATTCTGGCTAGCCTAACGTACTTCTCACTTATCTGCCTTTTCCTTCCTTTATATTCATATGTTCATCCAAAGCTTTGGTGCTGTGGTTTTAACTCACAAGTACCTTAAACAGTGCTTTGACATTGCAGTTTTTGTGCTTGTTTTCCAAATTTCTCATGATGTAAGCCCCTTGTCTTTCAATCTTGCCTCAACCCCATAATCCCCTACAATCTCCAATTCTGGCCTCTTCCACATGCACAATTTTAATTTTCCCACTATTGGCTGCTGAACTTGCATCCACTGCTGTCGCGAACTCTGGATTTCTCGTCCATAAACTTCATGGACTCTCTATGCTCTTTACTTCATATAGCACTCTGGTAAGTGGGATTGGTTGGTAAAGACACAAAGGCTGGTCTATTCATTTAATCCTGGTGCTTCTGTGATGTGAGCTGTTTAGGTAAAGAACTACTGCTACCAATGAAACTGACTGCCCCTCCAACGTATTCAGCAACTAGTCAGTGAGTTCTACCTCAAATTGATTTTGTCTGTCTTGTCATGAAGCTGAAATGTATGATAGCATTTCTTTTACAAACTTTGCTTCAACATTTCACACCTGCAGTGGGATATATTTCTTTTGCTCCCTCCCATCTGGTTCCCATGCTGAATTTGACATTCCTCAGGTACTTGTATGAATCAACATTTGAAGCATTATTACATGCTCTCTTTGAGTATAAAGAGATTCTTTCTCCTTTATATAAATCCAAACTTTGATCACATACTCAAACTTGTAGCCTCTTTTTGAAAGCTGAGAGTCATTACATTAAAAGCCTTTTCAGTGGAAGCACTGAAATAAAGCACTAGCTTCAGAGTTAGCCAGTACCCTCATGCGTTTTCTGTTGAGTGTAATATATCTTCCATTTTGACTATCTGTAGGATTACTCTTCACCCATGATGGATAAATGCTTTAACAGAATAACAACAAAGAATTGATTCATGTAATTAAATAACCATACAGGTGAAAATAGCCCATGAATTCTTCTGGTCTTTCAGCTGCTACATGCTTTGAATGTTGTAGGAAATGTTTCAATAGCCCTCTAGTTTCCCATTGACAAAATTGAGAGACATTGAATAATATTAAAATATATGGCAAACTTTTAAACTGTTAAAATGCAAATTTGTGTTTGGTATTTTTGCTTCAAATAGTATTTTTCCTGGATCCTTGGACTGTGTTGTGGTAATTCTTGCCTCTGCTTTAAAAGATCATCAGTTGGAACTTGATCCTAGATAACAAGCAGTGCTTAACTGAGTACTCAACACAGATAGACATGCTGTTGTTGATCAGATGTTTTTCTCAGTCTTGGACTTGGACAGCTTTTAGAAGTTAGAACTTCTTGTTAGCAGTATGATTTGAATGTGAGGAGTCAAACGTAGACAGATTAGTAGAGTTGGGGGTCATGATCAGAGTAGCCAAGATCTTATCGATTGGCAGAGCAGGCTCAAGGGTCAGATGGCCAACTGTTTTTGGCAGTGGTGTAAGACATAGTGGCCGAGGTAAGCAGTTTAAGTGAAAGCAAACTATTGTCGTCAGGTTCTGGTGGAGGAACTTGAAGTCAAGGACTTTTCCACAGTGTTGTATTTCACCACTGCAGGGCAGCTATAATTTTTTGAAACATTTCTTTTGAAACTCATCAAAACTCTTCTCTGCCCTGTACAGTTCATAAATATCTTTGCTTGCTGTATCGGCATCAAAACTCTTCAACATATCCTCTTCTAACTCATTCACTTTCAGGACCTCAACTGTGAAATTACATCTTTGCCTATGTCTTTCTTTCCTTAGACAGACTTTTAGACTTGATGCTCCACATCACTAGTGTTGATTTGCTCTGTGTAAGTGAAAATTCTGTAATTAACTACATAGGTAGGGATGTGAGACTTTGTTTGTAATTTTAGGTGTGTCTGTAGATATGAAGTGGTATTTGTTTTATCAACTTTAGAATCATAAAATCCCTACCGTGTGGAAAGAGGCCATTTAGCCCATTGCCGATTCTGCAGAGCATCCCACCCAGACCCAGACTCCCACTCTATCCCCGTGACCTGCATATGACATGGCTAATCTACCTAGCCTGTGCATCCCTGGACACTACGGGACAATTTAGCATGGCCAATCCACTTAACTTGCACTATCTTTGGACTGTGGGAGGAAGCTGAACCACTCGGTGGAAATCTATGCAGACACAAGGAGAACAGGCAAACTCCACACACACTCACTCGAGGCTGGAATTGAACCTGGTCCTTGGCACTGAGAGGCAATAGGGCGAACCACTGAGCCACTGTGATGTCCAATTTTATTTTACTCCATTTTGTACTGAACACAGAGCATATTCATATATGTCATGTGTGTCTTGTTTTTCCTCCTGTAAGTTTAAGTATCTAATTGTGTTCAAAAATAGTGAACCTTGTGATTCAGAATCAACAGTGAAAATTTGGATTATTTATTAAGGTTTCAAAATCAAGCTTGATCTCTCAAACCTACAATCTTAAGTGCAGCATTTTAAATCTCAATGTAGTTGTGATTCTGTATCAGCAATTCTCTGAGCTGCACATTTGTTCTGAGTAAAAAGTGTTTGTATTTCTGTAGAGATTTTAAAAACTTCAGGATGTTTCAAAGCACTTTACTGTGGTGAGTTACTTTTTGCAGCAAGTTATTGCTCCACTGTAGGAAATGTGCATATAATTCAGATACTGCAAAGCCCTTCAAAAGGTGTGTGATTAATGAATAGATCTTGTGAATCATTGGCCTTCATTGTTTTTGATTGCAAAAGATTATAAACCTATTATCTTTTCAAAAAAATATTGGACCTGAATTGAGGTTGTCAGAACTATCATGTCACATTTTACTGCCGTTTTTAAGTTGAAGCTTAAAGGGAACGAAGAATTGATGTAAAATCAAAATACAATTGCTTCTCTGATAATGCAGTTACCATCAAGATGTAAGATTGTTAGAAGTCTTGTTTCATCATTTACCTATATGCATGTTTCTTATATTTTACCATTTGTCTCCTGCAGGGGCCCACTGAATTCAACAGACTGCTATATTGTCCGTGAAATCTACAATGGGGAAAATGCACAGGAACAATTTGAATACGAGCTGGAGCAAGCCTTGGAGACCCAGTACAAGTATATTATTATCGAGCCAACTCGAATTGGAGATGAGACAGCACGTTGGATCACAGTTGGGAATTGCTTGCATAAAACATCTGTCATTGCGGGATCAGTGTGCCTGTTAGCCCCTTTAGCACTGGCTCCAGAATATGCTCGTTACCTAACCCTTCCTATCGGGGCCATCAGTGTGGCCTGTGCAGCGCTCTATGGCATTTCATGGCAATTCGACCCTTGCTGCAAGTACCAAGTGGAGTATGACACATGCAAACTCTCCCGGTTACCCCTGAACACACTCACTTCATCCACGCCTGTGGTTCTGATTAGAAAAGATGATATTCACAGGAAAAGACTCCACAACACAATAGCATTGGCAGCGTTGATGTACTGTGTTAAGAAAATTTGTGAGATCTGTGCAGTATGATTGGGACAAATGGTGCTGTTATATCAACCTAATAGTACTGTTAATATGATAAGTTGTGGCCAGTGGAGAATGCAGGAACAAGGTCCCAAATAGATTTTTCGAAGTATCTCCCCTTTGTATACTGCGGTCTCCAGTCCACATTTTAGTTTTGCCCATCCCCATGACCTTGAACTTCTCTAAAAGGCCATAGTGTAGACCTGACATTTATGAGAAATTCAATATATGCAGAGCTGCTGTTTCAGGTGATGAACAGGCAAATGATCTGTTATCTTCATATTCTGCAAATTTCTACAAAAAAGGCATTATCTGGCTTTTGAGTTATTCTCCTATTTTACAGTACAGAAAGAATTCCCTCAAGGGTCTGAAATATATATACAGAGTTGAACACTTATATTTTTAAAATTTAAGTGATAGCTTTGGTAGATCTTGCCAATTGATATTACTGCAATTCAGAAACATTACTGCATGTGTATTATAAAATGTGATCTTCACGTTTATTTCCTGTGCTAGGCTGCAGCACTTGAGATGAATTAATTTAACCTGACATTCAGTTACTACTTTAATGGTGCAATTGTAGCAAGTCAGTTCCAATTGAAATTGTTACATTAAAGACAGAAAATGAAATTCACTTGCAAAACATGAAGTTAGCGTGTCTGAATTTAATGTGCGATAACTCCATTTGTTTTTTAACGTGGGTTACCACATTGTGGTCATGAATGCTGAAGTTTTAAAGACCGGTGAGGGAGCTAACGCACCTAAATGTTCATCAGTGGGGTTTAAATTTTGTTAATAGCTCAGGTTCATCCCCAGTGCTTTACTATGAAGAAAAGCCCGAGCTTTGTTGCTGCCACTTTTCCTCACTGCTGCAGTATGAAATTTACAATTGAATTGGAGTTGGAATCTGTGAAAATAATGTTTTGATGTAGTAAATAGTTTAAATTCCAAACCAAATCCAAGAAAATTTTGAAATTAGAATTTGTCTTTCTATGCATTCGAATGTGGTTCCGGTTTCCCTGCAACCAAGCTGTTGCTATAATATAAAGACCTTTTCCTTAATTTGGTAATAAAAGGGACCATTTTCGGATGCAATCACAATGTCACCAAGATGCCTCATTTTAATTTTGGTGACATTTTCATCCCGACTCACGGGTCAGTGCTTTTACTGCATGTTTTTTAGTATTTTGTTTTCATTCCTCCCAGTAATATTTCATTGGAAGCAACATAAAGTTCTGAAAGGGCAGTGCAGAGGATTGGAGGGACCCAAGTTGTGGGTTCGGGTCATACTTTAGGATTACAATGCAATGTAAGAAAGAATTGCATTTATTTTCCTTGGCTTGTGTAATGGAACTGGTATTTATACAATGCAGTGATGAACTTTGTGTGTACAATGGGATGATGGTATGTGTCTGATTAAAAGTGAGACACTTCAGGCATAAAGATTGTTGGGCACGTTATGCAAATTATATTTTAAAAAATAATTTTTTTGAAAACTTTATAAATACGTGTATCTTGGATGTTCTTAGACAATCCAATAAAGATTGAGAAGAATTGGTATTGGAATTGCTAAATGACATGACTTGGTTAGTTTTACCCAACAGATGGTGAGGTTTATGCTTTTGAATGTGGAGGTTGTATGCAACACTATACCCTGATCTAATGATGTGCTTGATGGTGGCTGACACTAACATTTTCGGTAAATACTTCAAAGAATTACCTTATCTTTTTGTGCTGGAAATTAACAGAAATGCTGAGCAAGCACTCTGCTTATTGCTTGGTGTGTTTTCCCAGAAAAGAAGTTAAAAAGTTTTCTGAAATGTTTGCCAAGTACAATCTGGTATTGATGCCACTGAATAGTCGATATGATAAAATTAAAAGCTTTTTTTTTTAAATTTAGACATATCAAGTGACATGAAAGAGGGCATTCTGCAAAATCGTCACAACTTTGGCTGTTGTAAATTTTGGCTATTGGTTGCCCTGTGTAGCTATATTGCTAATGGCCAGCCTCAACATTTGTAACTTTCACTCTCATCCCCTCTCGCTGTCATTTTTGCTCCTCCCTTTTTATACCTTTCTTACTTTGTACCCTCTTTCCAGGAAATTTGATTGTATGGCATATTTCAGTATCAAAATGATCATGTCCCATTTTTTACACAGAACCCTAGGTGAGGTGAACACTAGTGTTTTTCTAAGACTGATGTTCATCACGAGTACCCAAAGTAAAACCAGGCAAGAGGTAACATAAATTACCTTTGTGCCATTCAATAAGTTTACTTCATTTACTTGAGTCATTTATTTCATTTGCTGGGTAAGTTCTTTCCATATACCCCATTATCTTTGAGTCATGGTAACTTGTTGACCAGGAGCCAGTATTACTTCAATTACTGCCTTAAATAATATTTTAAATGTTCAACCTTTTCTAAACATTACACCATTGTCAGCTTTTAGATTTTTAATATGGTAAACAATATGCTAAGTGCACATTTGTAAGCCAGTGGAAACAAATTATGCAGCTGCCAATGTAGTAATATATACACCAAACTGTAATATTCCAAGTTTAACAACTGTACTATTAAAATCTGAAACCGCCAGCTAAAGTAAAGGACAACGTATGTTGAGGTTTTCTGTGTCCTGTTGATTTGCTAGTGTTTCACCATCATTTTTCCTATAAGTATTTTCATACACTGTATTCATTTTTTGAAAAATAGTTTACACAATACATTTTGTGAGCAAGACAGTATATTTTTGAAATTGGTTGCTCATTCAAGGGGCCAATGTCTTTTACAAAAAGCTTTTGACCGATGTCTGTTTTGTTACAAAAGGGCGCAGTGACATGAAATGCATTGAAATAAATAATTGCATAACGTAAGTGCCATGTGGTGAAAATGATGTGGTTGCTGTGACTGCATCCCACCCCCCAAAATGGAAGAGATTGAATGTGCCCCTTAGACAGTTTCAGTATTCTTTCTCATGTCTTGAAATTTTCTACTTTGCTATTCTGTTAAGGTGTGCATGTGCCAATTTAGATTAAATAGGTTTGTTAAAGTATTGCATTTCTTAGTGTTAAATGGTTTGAACTACATACTATAAATAAACACATTAGTGAGCAAATCAGATCTCTTTCTCCTAAAAGATAAATTTGTTTTTTCTTTTTTGTTTGTCTTGTTACAAAGAAAACACTGTTTTTGAGATTCAGTGCACTGTGAAGTTGTGGATGAGAAATATATGGTGGAGACTAGAATGGGAAAAATGATTTGTTGATGGTATTACAAGGATTCCAAGCAGGATTTATAAGGCAGCAACCCACTGGAGTTCAGTTGACATTGAATATGAGTAGGTTATTAATGTGAGCCCCACAAAGTTATTAATGCATTGTTAAATTGTCAGACCGCGAGCTTATCTATAATCAGGAGTGAGAAACATTTTTTCTTTGTGCGACCCCATGGGTATGTAGCTGTGGCAGTTGTAAGAAAATGCAATTTTCCATGTTCCCATTAAGTTATTCACCAGTGCTTTAAAAGAAATAGCCTTTTCCCAAGCACTAAGCCAACAATAAATCCATTCATGCACAGGACTGTTGGATGAACTTCAAGATTTTTGGTGACAGGATAATCGGACAATAGGATGATTTAGATTTGAATTCACATACATTCAGGGAGTTTGTTCTACTGCAAGTCAACCAGTCTGTCAGGGATTTATGAAAGTAGTGGTTGTGTTGTCTTTTGTCTATAAAGAATGAATTAATGTACAGAGAGTTACAAAATCCTGTTGAGAATTTATCAAGTGTTGTTGAATTTTAAAGTTTGTGGTTAAATGGTTTTAGAGGTGTGTGTGTGTGTGTGTGTGTGTGTGTGTGTGGACTCAGATAGACTAATGGTATACTGCTCCACAGTTCAACAGAGGGTCATCCACTTTTCTTCCCTCGTTAAGAATGAAATGTATCAGAATTGCAACTCCAGTTTCTTTCTCTGTCTTTGTCTTTGTTTCGGAATGTGAGCATAGGTTGGCTTGCCCTTGACCACTCTTATCGATTTGCCTTAATGCTGACAGCAGTCTTTAAATTGCCAAACCAGCTGAGATTGTGGCAAATGTCAGTAACATTGCCAATTTGCGCTGTTTTATACTGTGAGCTTGCACCCAAATGTAATTAAATAGACAATCAGCTTTTTGATAGAGGAGACACCTCTGATCAGTTTGGATTAGAATTTACACTCTGGTTAACAGTTGACAGATTAGCATTCTGCTAATTTTTCAGGAACATTTCTTTCTTGGGCCAAATAAACCTTTTGTCATATCTGTCCGCTTGACTTAGATAAATTTATGACAGTGTGGTACTGCAATACCCTTCTGTAAGATCTTTGTGTGACTTGCTATTTCACATTGGCTGAAGTGGTGGTGGATGATGGTCAGCTGGCATTTAGCAGTAATTCAGCTGGAAATGCCCACTTTGATATACACATACGCTGTCACTCTCGCCTGCTGAGCTTTTTAGGGCCTACTTAAAAAGCTTCAGATTCTTGAGTGAACTGCTGAAGTGATAATCAGGAATAGAAAGAAAAGTTAGAATTACAGATTCACTAGTGCTGAAAATTATATTTGTCTTGATCTGACTTCCAAAGAAGTTACTCGTTGGAGTACCGCTTCTCTGGCCGGGAGCTGATGCACCTTCTTTGTTATGTTGCTTTATTTTGCCCTGTATGCGCTTTTTTATTAAATAGGGCATTTGTCTTGATTCTTCTTTTTCATCCAGTCCACAAGATGTTAACTGGTTGTTGTCCGAGTTGCTAATTTGTCAAATGGACTCTGGCTGTGAAACTAGACTGTAGTGCAACTGGGTAAGAGAGTAAACACATCAAGCCAGCTCCTTATCATGTCATCCCCCATCCACATGCACATACTTAATTGCTATTATTCTTTATCAGGAGTGGGAGTATGAGTGTAACTCTTCTCCCCCACTCACCTACCACTGCTCTCCTGGCTGAGATTGGTCAATTTAGCACAGGACTATGCAAAGGATAAGTTGGAACAGTTCAGCAAATGACTGGGTTAGCTCATTGTGCCGGTGAGACCTCATTTCATGTAATACGTGACAAAAGTCTTTTTGAGCCGGAGATCTGTTGTCTTAGCCATTATACTGAAAGTTATGGAATTTGTTGTGGTTAGATATAATCCATAGCAGGAAGGAATGAAAAAATACTTTTTGATAAGACAGTATCACTTTAGTAGTAACTTCAATATGTGCCTCCTCTTCCTCTTCGCATTCAGGGCTCTGAGCACTTTATTCTTCAGCAGTCCAAGTAAGTTGTCTGTTTGAGCATCCAGTGCTGAC